CGCTGGGCGTGCGGGGCTTGGCCGTGCGGGAGGTGACTCGGTTGTGGGAGCCTGCTAGCGGCTCCCAGCCTACCTTGGCTGCGTGTGCCCACGGTGCCTGCCTGGAAGGAGGGGGACGGCCGCCCGGGACGAATCCAGCCCGGCCACATGCTCGCTGCTCGTAAGGTTTTCTTTTGTAAAGTCGAACCGGCAAGTCAAGATTAGCTTTGTAAAGTTCTCCGTGTTTTTTTCCCAGTGAATCCCAATTACAACGGAGGGGAACCTAAACGCTCCCGCACAGCTTACACCAGACAGCAAGTCCTAGAACTGGAAAAGGAATTTCATTTTAACAGGTACCTGACCAGGCGCCGCCGTATCGAGATAGCCCACACTTTGTGTCTCTCTGAGCGCCAGATCAAGATCTGGTTTCAGAACAGAAGAATGAAGTGGAAAAAAGACCACAAACTGCCCAACACGAAGGGCAGGTCTTCCTCCTCTGGTTCAAACCCCCATTTACAGACTGGTTCCAAGGACCATCAGACTGACTTGACAACTTTGTAGAAGAGGTGAAATTTTCCATTTCATCCTTCGCTTCTGACCAGTACTGTACATAAATGACACTGCCCAAGCAGAACCTGCATGTAGCAGCTAAGGACTCGAGAAACTGGCATCTTTCTTTAAGGTACTGTTGTACAAAGGAGACAAAATGACGCTACTTTGGACTTTATTTTATTTGCCTCTGCTAGCAGCACCTAAAAAAAAAAAAAAGGGGGGGGGGGGAGGAGGGTGGGAAATGAAGAAAAAAAAAAGAAACATCGTGCAGGCAGTGGGAATTGGGAAAATATTAAACGAGACCTTCTGTCCATAAAAAGTAATAAATCATTGAAAATGAAACTGTCCTGTGTTTCAGTTTTGAGTTCGAAAGTGAAGGTTCAATGCTTTATTCTGGGATTTTCACTTTTAATTTTCTCTTTATCCCATGCAATATCGGGAGGATGCATTTGGGCAAGTTGAAGACAGGAAATTTATAGCATAGTCTTTCCTTTGAACATAAAGACTAGTAATTGTCAACTTTTGTGCTGCTTTACCTTTCTTGGTGTAATGAAAATACTCGCACACTTCCATAATGTCTCGGAAGGCGTGCATAGGAATTAAGTGAAAACGGGTTATTTTATGTACTGACAGTGTTGGTGTATTTATTTATTTGTTACGTAGAAGAGTAAAGATAAAAAGAAAAATAGTCAAACCAAAAACGGGGAAGGGGAGCTGAAATGCAGTATTTATCCTCCCCAGTCTCATGAACACATGTATGTTTACTTGTCTCGAACGTCCACAACTTTCTTATCCCTTTCTTTGAATTTCCTTCTCAGTGAGTAGGAGAAGGGTCCCTGCTCCTTACCGTGTGCCATCCAGGGCTCACAGGCTTGAAATCTGTTTCCAAAGTCTGCTCTGCTCAGTGCTGTGCTTTAAGCCGTTGATACCTCATATAAAAAGGGAGAAAACTTTTTTAAAAAAAGGGAAAAAAGGACCACAAAAAAAAAAAAAAAAAGAAAACTCCAGAGTGAAAAATGAAGTAGGTTTCTGATATAACATGACCTATTCAAAGCTGAAAGCTGAACGCATACTTTCGATCAGATTTTAAATTTCTTTTCCGCCCCAGAGAGAGATGGGCTATGTGGGTTGCTGCTTTGTTTTGTTTTGGCGTTATTTCGGTCTGTTGGGGCTTATGCTCTTTTGAAGAACAGTGATTGTTTTTCAGCAAACCACGACAGATGACTGCAGTGGTTGGAAGCCTCAGCAAGCTGCTTCTAGGGAAAGGGCATAGGCTTGGATGGGAGCGGAGCTGGTCCCTGGCTCTGGCTGCATGGTGCCAAAGTTTTAGTGCGCTGTGACTACCAAACCTAGCCAAACCAGCTCCCTCAGCCACTTACACCTCCGCTCGGGCGATTTTAAAGCTCAGCCCTTATCTCCTGTACCCTCGGGGCAGCCTGGGAGAGGGACCACACCAGGGAAATCGTAACGAGGGGATCCCTGTATTAAAGAAGAAAGGGGCAAAGAAGGAAACCCAGAGCAAACGTTAAAGGGAGGTGGAAAGAGCAGGGGGTGAGTGAAGGTGCCCTTCTCCAGGCTGGGTGCTTCCCACCGAGGACTCCCTGCTTTCTGGGCTCACTCGGGAAAACACCGACCGAAATGGGCTTGAATGAATTCCAAAATAAAAGGCGAGCTTTTCAACAGGAGTGTATTCGGCAGCATCAACTGTGGCCAGCGGTTAATTTCTGCCCTTTTCTCATCCCTAGCAGTCCGCAAAGTGTCTTTAAGACTTGGCCTTTTGTTTTAGAGCCTGGAGAAAACTCTTTGTTCTTCCTTAGGGTTAGCCCAGTTCTCAGACTTGCACATGGCAATACTTGAATATCTCCACGTCGCGATATTAAAGATGGATATTCCCGCATTATTCGCATCATTGTTTCTATGACAAAAAGCACCGAGTTCATACATAGTAAAGACGTCTTTTTTTCTGACGCCTTCATGTTGAGAAGCTGAAAAGGTATTTTACTGAAGTTCGGCTAAATTGCAGGAACAGGTTCACCCAGAGGACAAATTTTCTATTCGATTAGTTGTATTTCAGCCGGGAAGAGTGACCTCTAAACCCTTAACCTTTTGGACCCGAACTACCCTTCCCTTTCTCTGGCATGGAGAGCAGCTAGCAGCAGCGCTTGAGGAGGGAATTCCTGAGACAAGTTTTCAAGTTTTGTTACAGCCGGTTCCTGCGGTAGTGGCCTTTCGTCTCCAGAGTTGTCCAAAGACCTCCCTTTGCTCTTTGTACGAATCTATTAACGGGCTGCCTAGATCAAAAAAAAAAAAAGAAAAAAAAAGGAAAACCTCTTTGGCTGCTCTTCACGAAAATTCCCCTCCCGGACCCCCGCTGTTCACTTAAAGCCTGTGACAAGTTGGCGGGGAGCAGGGCAAACGTGTTATTCGAGAGAGAGCTACCAATTTTGGCATTTGTGGTACGGTTCTGGAAAACGATGGCCTTGGATAAGCAAATCCTTGCTTTGTGCTTCTTATCGACCGAGATGGCTCCCGAAGTTAAAGAAGCAAATTCTGCTCCCAGATTTCCTTTCCCCGCCCACTGAAGTCAAACAGGGATGTAGCTGCGAGCAGAATTTGTCTCGTTGTCTTTTGAATATCTCCGAGACGAGTGTTGGGTGCAGCAGGCACAGCTCTTACAAGCCTGCTTGAGAGTCCCCTTTGAGCGAGGCTGGGGCACTAGAAGTTTACATAGTTGTAATTGCGGTGTGAGCTGGGAGAATACATGAACCGGAGGCAGAAAGTACCCAAAGAAATAGTTTCCAGCTGCCAATGCTCTGAAGGGTCAGGAAGGTCTGTAAGAGCGACCAGGAGCAGCCACTGGCAATTGTCTCCCGTGGAAAGAGAACGTGAGGTTCATTTCTTATTGGTCTTCAGCCCTCCTCCAGAGCTGTTCTGTGTAGGCAGGGAAGTTGGTTAGGTTTGTTTGTCAGGGGTGAAACGTTGTGCGTTGGAGCCTTTGTTAAGCGGTCGCGTTGTCCAGCAACACTCTCATCTCTGTTCAAGTGTGATGCTTTTTATAGAACTTGCCAATGTTTTGCTGCCGTTGATTAAAGCGTTATTTATACTAATTGTCGCCTGTAGTTCTGATGTAAGCCCTCCGTCTACATTTGAAATAATAAAAGGTGTGGAGAAACAGATTCTGGTTTGTACCTTGAACAAACAGTCCTTACAAGGTGGGTGTCTCTTCCCTGGAAATGCTGGTCCCTCCCATCATTACAGTGTTAAAAGATTAGGGACTCTGCATAGCATCCTTCCAAATGTCCCTTTGAACAGGTTTGCTGATTGCCCCAGCCGTAATGGTGTGACTCCAGGCCAAGCTGGAGTCTATATTTACATTTAGGCTGCAGTTAAAAGTGCCTGTCATCCATTTGCTGCTGCTTTGCATTTAACAAGCCCTCCTAGAATGACTCCCGGATTTATGCATGTGTGGTTGGAGGCAAGGAGCCACACCTGAAGCCACCTCTATCCCCATGCAGATGTGTGCCTCTTAGGTGAGTCCTGGAAAGAGTCAATCCGAGAAAGAAATGGAAATTTGAAATTGGGGTGCAGCGAGTAGCTTTCCCTGAGCAGTCAGCTTCACTTTTTCAGTCGGCACAAAACGAGAGATCACAAGAAAAGACAAACTTGGAGAGTCTAAACTTTCCCGTGCACCTAAGAAAAACATATTTTTTTATTCTTTTATCTCTTTTTTTTTAATTTTTCCTCTCCTGCTTGAGCACCGCAGACAACACCAAGCACCTCTGGCCAGGAGAACTCGGGTTTTTGTCAGAAGGGTTTGTCACTCGGGACTTGTCCTCTGGTAGAGCGTGGTGGAGGCACGACTCCAAACAGACGGAGGCTCTGGCTCAACCCGGGAGGGGAGCGTGGGGCACAGGACAGGGCATTTGCCCCCGCTGCCAGGAGGGCATGGCGGGGGGGAAGGGGCCCGCGGCTTTCTACGCAGACACTCGCTAAGTTTAAACGCCGAGGCACATTTTGTGATGATACTCGCTCTCTCTCCTGTTTTATGGCTCCTCCTGTTACTCCCGATACATCAATACGGTTCTGTACGTTATATCGCCACTAGTCGTTAAGGTAAGAATGGAGAGGAAAGGCAGAGTCAACAGCAACCCCCGCTCACTGTACAGTACAGTAAATAGGGACCTCTCGGTGCGGAGCCACCCCGCTTCCAACGGCCATGTTTGTTAGCCCTTTCCCCTGATTTTTTTCTTTTTTTTTTTTTTTTTTTTTTTTACCCCCTAGAGCCTAGAGACCAAAATAATCTTGCTAGGAACAGTCATAACAGGCAGAATTTCAAAGTGCAAGGAAGATGATAAGAATAGATTTCTACAAGTCCTGACCACGTGATTTGCGAAATAATTAATTCAGCACGTCCCTTAAGAAACACGGAGTCGTCATTAATCTGCCAAGCAAAGGACTCTATCAGACTTGAAAACTGAAGAGATCCCAAGAATATAATATACAAAGGGCGCAGTCCCTCTCTCTGCACACCTGGCTCCTCGGTGGCTGCCGAAAAAGAGACGCCTGGTACGTAAACAGGTTTTTGTTGTGTTGTTTTTTGACTTTTACTCCTTCTTCTTTAAGCCCTAATGAAGCCAGCTGTCAAGCGCTTGACAAATCGGGCGCGCCGCTTCCTGCTTCCCAGCTCGGCCGCGGCCGGGAGCCGGACCGGTCAGTGAT